ATCCTGCGAAATGTTTGATGTTCTGGTTACCAAGTGCTGCTCTCACTTGACTGCTAACCAGAAGGCTGACGGTTCAAACCCATTAGCCACTCCTCGGAAGGAAGATGGGGCAATCTACTTCCATAGTGATACTGCCTTGGAAACCCAAGGAGGGGTTGCTATGAGTCGGGTCCAACTCGACGGCGCATAACAACAACAACAACAACAACAATCATGTTTATTTATGTAAATATTAGTTTGGATGCTTGTGTTTTATGAAAACATTGTTATTTCTTTCAAAGAAATTGCCTATTCTGTTTAAAAAATATAATTGCTATATATCAGTAAGTTTCATAATAATTTTACTTCTGGGCATATATCCTAAGGAAATACTAATAAATAAGTAATTTTGCTCTTGGATAAATATTACTTTTAAAATGCAAAAAAAATTACAATTTTATTTTTTAATTACCTGAGGAAAGCATAGATTGTAAGAATTAGTAAGTCAGCTACTGCTTATAATAGGTTATTTTCTTTGAAATTAGAAACCTAGAAGAGGGCAGATAACTATTTTATTAATTTTCTTTTTTGCATATTTGATATTAAATGACCATCATCACCTTATTAAGAACTTATTAAGGTATGGGCCATTCTATAACTTTGGAGCATCCAACTTAATGACTATTTTGTCCCCTGTCAATGGATGTTAGGGAGAAGAGTGTGTTTCTGAGAACTGAAGACTACAGCTAAATAGACTTCTATAGCTGGAAACTTGTCTGTCTTAGTCTGGGTTCTTCAGAAGAGCAAAACCAATGAAATGTATATATAGAGAGATTTACTTCAAGGAAGTGGCTCATGCAGTTATAAGGGCTGGCAAGTCTTAAATCTGTGGGTCCACTGGCAAGCTGGGGACCCCTGCTGGTTCACAGAATTTGGGGAAGCTGGCAAATCCAATATCTGAGGTCAGGTGGTAGACTAGAAACTTCTGCTGGCTTATATCCAAGAACCAGAGGTCAGGTGATAAGAAGAGTGCGGGGTCAAAAGAAAGAGATTGAGCTTTACCAGAACATCCATTTGTATACTGGGCGCAAGCCATACCCTCAAGGAAACTCCCCTTTCAACTGATTGGCTGCTCACATCAGATCACAAACTGGAAGAACAACTGCCAAATCACTGAGAATCATAGCCTAACTAAATTGACATAGAACATTAACCATCATAGAACATAACTATTATTTCTAAATTTACTTATAAATTAACTTTATTGTAACAGCTTTGTTGAGATATAATTCTGGTAGCATAGTGCCTAAGGCATTTGACCGCTAACCAGAAGGCTGGCGGTTGAAACCCACCAGCCACTCCTCAAAAGGAAAGTTGGGCAATCTCCTTCTGTAGTGATACTGCCTCAGAAACCCAAGGAGGGTCGCCATGAGTCGGGTCCAACTCGACGGCACGTAAGAACAACAACAACATAATTCATATAAAATTTTAACCATCTAAATGACGATTAAAAATAAACCTTTTCCAGCTGTGATTTAATGATTGTAATCCAGCAACCACTTTCTCATCTTTAAATTCCATTAAAGATGAATGATTGATTAAATACATAGTTTTGACCTAGTTGTAATCATAATTCTTAATTTTGTCTTACTGCCTTCATTTAGTAATTTTAATGGGGATCAAAACATCTTTTCCCAAGTTTTCCAAATAATAATATTTACTGTAGAAAAGTCTGTCATTTTAATGTATCATAATTAGGGAAATAACTTTACTGCTATATCTTAATTTTTACATTTAACTATATTACAAATGCTTTTGTAAGTATATTTACATATTTTGCTTTTTTAACATTTATTTTTTATATAAATTTTCATAAATGAGAATATTAGGTTAAAGTTAAAGAATATTAAACTCTAATGGGAAAGGGATATTTCCAGGCTGTTTTAATGCTTTATCTACACCCCCCCACACACACTACCACAAAGGGATTCTAGAAATTTATAATACCATCAGCAAAGACCAAAAGTACTTCGTTTTTCTCTACCTAGTGTTGTCAGTTAATTTTTCTAATTTAGTACTAGCAACTATTTACATTGGAAAATGAGATTGATTTCTAAACAATGAACAGAGGGATTTGGTTATTTTTTTTCTTTAACAGAAAAGTTGCAAGAATGATACAAAAATCTTTTCTTCTGAGGCTTTAAGTGTAAATTCCTGACATACTTCCCTTCACCCCCAAATACTGTTTCATACAAGCAGGAATATTTTCCCATATAGCCACAATGCTACCAGTAAAAACACCAGGAAATTATTGATCCATCTAATCCCAGACACCATTTACATTTTGCCAATTATCCCAATAATGTATGTTTGACAATAGGATCCAGTCTAATACCACATGTATTTAGCTGTCATGTCTCTGGTCTCCTTTAATCTGGAATAGTTCCTCAGTCTTTTCTTGACTTTCATAACCATTTAAAGATTACAGGTCAGTTCTTTCCTGGAATGTCTGTCAATTTGGGCTTCTCTGATGTTTCCTTATGATTGAATTTAGATAATGCATATTTAACAGGTACATCACAAGAGTGAAGTTTGTATTATTCTGGTGGTACATTCTTTTAATTTGCCTTATTATGGCCACGTTAGCTTGTTGGTATCTGCCAGCCATCTTCAATGTTAAGTTTTTTTTTTTTCTTTCTGTAATTAATAAGTATTTTGTGGAGAGGAACTGTATTAATATTTCTTATACTTTAAATTGTTAAATGTATGTATTTATACCATTGTTGATTCATAGATTATATTTTATTCAATGTGATTTACCATCATTACCATTACTTATTTTGATGGCACTCTGGTGACGTCGTGGATAAAGCATTCAGCTGCTAACCCATAGGTCATTGGTTTGAACCCACCAGCTGCCCTATGGGAGAAGGATGAGGCAGTCTGCTTCTGTATAGATTTGCAGCCTTGGAAACCCTGTGGGGCTGTTCTGCTCTATCCTGAAGAGTCATTATGAGTCAGAATTGACTTGATGTCATTGGGCTTCATTTGGGTTTTTGTTTTTATTTTGATATTCAGGTTGCCCAAGCCTTAACCAAGGCAGCCCCTTCTAGGTGGCTTCTGTGTTCTTTTGGCATGTCCTGTCACTCTTTAAACATTTCCTTGCCTTCTGCCCCAAGATATTAGGCCCATTTTGTACTTTCTTTGCCCCCAAGAAGCTCCAGTTTCTCTTAGTGGAATGTGCTAGTCATTGCTGTTGGGGTATAGCTTCTCCCAGCCGCTCTCCATGAACAGAGTTGCTGTTGTTGTTAGGTGTCAGAGAGTCGTCTCCGACTCATAGACCTTACGTACAATAGAACGAAATACTGCTCGGTCCTATGCCAGCCTCATGATCTCTGCTATGCCTGAGCCCATCATTACAGCCACTGTGTCAATCCATCTTGTTGAGGGCCTTCCCCTTTTTCATTGACCCTCCACTTTACCAAGCATGATATCACTTCCTTTGACAACATGACCAAAGTAGGTGTGATGAAGTCTGGCCATTCTCACTTCCAAGGAGCAGCTGGAGAAGACAAAGTCAATTATTTTGATGAAAAACAAACACTGCCATTGAGATGATTTGACTCATAGCAACCCCTCCTTGGGTTTCCAAGTGGTATCTTTGCGGAAGTAGATTGTGCAACCTTTCTTCCAAGGAGTGGCTGGTGGGTTCGAACCACCAGCCTTCTGGTTAGCAGTCAAAACCTTAGGCACTACACCAGAAAACCAAAACCAAACTCACTGCCGTCAAGTCAAACCCAACTCATGGTGAACTCTCCTTGGGTTTCCGAGACAGTATCACTATGGAAGTACATTGCCCAACCTTCCTTCCAAGGAGTGGCTTGTGGCTTTGAACCGCCAACCTTCTGGTAGTCAGATTCCTTAGGCATTTACTGATGAATACAATTAGTACTCATTAATACAATTAGTTCCTTAGGCACTATGCTACCAGAGCTCCTACTGAGCTCCAATAATGAAGACTTGTTGTTGTTGTTGTTTGCCGTCGAGTCGGCCCCGACTCATAGCGACCCCTCCTTGGGTTTCCGAGGCAGTATCACTACGGAAGTAGGATTGCCCAACCTTCCTTCCGAGGAGTGGCTGGTGGGTTTGAACCGCCAGCCTTCTGGTTAGCAGTCAAGTGCTTTTAGCCACTATGCTACCAGAGCTCCCTAATGAAGACTACAGTCTGTCAATTCTTTCAGTGCAGCTTCGATTTCTTCCTTCAGTACCATTGGTCTTGATCACGTGCCACCTCCTGAAATGGATGAACGTAGACCAGTTCTTTTTGATTCAATGACTGTGTATTCCTTCCATCTTCTTTTGATGTTTCCTGCATCATTCAATATATTGCCCATAGAATCTTTCGGTATTGCAACTCGAGGCTTAAATTTCCTCTTCAGTTC